AGGAGTTGGAGTGCTCACTGTGAGCAGTGGCTTTCAACTTACTTTTTGAATGTTTTTAAGGCTTTTAGAGTTCTCAAGCAACTTTCATAATCTGCAGTGCATTTATATTTTATTATAATAATCATGAGTAAAAACAAAAGCACTAGCACTATTAATCTGCATGAATACATCATCCATGTGTTACAATATATACAACAACAGTGTCATTGTGGCATCTCTGAGGTGGCATCTCAGTACAGGAGATAGATGCTGAAGAAAGATAAGAAAGTGTCTATTTCTTGCAAAGTCGTAGTTAGTACTGGAGCCTTGCAGAAAGAAGGTAGTGGGATCAATTCACACCAGGAAAACTGAGTAGAGTCAGTAAGCCCGCTCTATGTTGGTATAGGTTTCCTGTGTAGGGTAATTGACTTCTAACAAAATTGGCACCATTTTATACTGTGTGTGCTTGTACATCTACTATTGGACATTAGTGTGTAGGCTCTTAGGGATAGTGACTGAAAATAGTCCTGGAAGCTCCCTTAAGCACTAAGTAATATAATGACATGGCATAAAATACAGGTAATAAATAAAACAATTTTAGAAACTTTCTGGGCACAAAGGTAGACTCTAGCAATTGAAACATCTAATAGAAAGATACAGTAGGTCTATATCATATTTAGTATTTAACCAATCTTAATTTCATTCGTCTAAATAATATGCTGGTTGTCAGATTAAAATATAAAAATACAGATGTGTCTAGGATAGTTAGCATTTAGGGTGTGTCTGCTAGCCACCTCCAGCACACCTCCCATCTACCCCTTAGACCCTTTGATTAGGTGGAATTGTATCTGCAACACCCTCTCCAGGAACAAAAGCTGGTAATCTCATTTTACCATAAAAATTTTAAAGGGATACTAGGAGTCATTTATGGAGGCCATTGACTCCTAATATGAGACTGGACTTACTCTACAAGTCATCTGAACACTACATTGAACCAAAGACAATGAAAACTCCAATTAAAGCAGACCTTCATCCTAAACCTAATCTCTTGCCTCCAATCTCCCTCCCTCTCTTCCATTTGGATAAACTATTAAATAAAAAAAAAAGATTTATTGTATTTCCCCTCCCCGCCTGCATTCTGCACATGTGCAGATCTGCCACAAGGCTTCAGGTTCCAACAGCCCTGTGACACATCTGCCCACATATGGCTTTTCCCATACATTTAGGTGGGGTTTCCCTACAAATGCACAAAGATGGCTTTTCTGTCTTTGCACGAATACAGGCAATACTCTATACGTGTCTTTATGTATCAAATGGTTCTGTCAGGACCCAACAATCAGGCAAAGCCTTTTAGCATATCTGTGCACACGTCATAATCATGGTGCAGAAAGCGGTGGGGTCTCCAAAAACGGGGTCCGAAGCTCCACTTTTAAAACCCTTTTATGCCACTGTCACTTGTATCTGTTTTGCAATAGCATTTCTAGCATTTTATATTAATAAGCCAAATCTCTGAATGCCCTAAGAAATAAAGCACTTTGTCATGACAAAGCTCTTGTATTATAAACTCTGCTATATACAGTTGCAAGAAAAAGTATGTGAATCCCTTGGGATTATGTGGAGTTTTGCATGAATTGGGCATAAAATGTGCTCTGAATGTCATCTAAGTCACAACAATAGAAGAACACAGTCTGCTGAACATAATACTACACAAAACGTTAGATGTCGCCATGGTTTAATTGCACATAACATATAAACATTCACAGTGCAGGGAGGAAAAAGTATGTGAGGCCCTAGATTAATGACTTCTCCCAGAGCTAATTGGAGCCAGGAGTGAGCCAACCTTGACTCCAATCAGTGTGATGACATTGGATGTGTTGCTGGCAGCTGTCCTGCCCTTAAAAAACACACACGTGTTTTTGGTTTACTGGTTTCAAGAAGCACTGTCTGATGTGAACCATGCCTCGCAGAAAAGAGCTCTCAGAAGACCTACGATCAAGAATTGTTGACTTGCATGAAGCTGGAAAGGGTTACAAAAGTATCTCCAAAAGCCTTGATGTTCATGTGTCCACGGTAAGACAGACTGTCTACAAATGGAGAAAGTTTAGCACTGTTGCTACTCTCCCTAGGCGTGGTCATCCTGTAAAAATGACTGCAAGAGCACAGCGCAGAATGCTGCATGAGGTAAAGAAGAATCCCAGAGTGTCAGCTAAAGACCTACAGAAATCTCTGGCACATGCTAACATTTTTGTTGACACATCTACAATAAGGAAAACATTAAACAAGAATGGAGTACATGGGAGGACACCACGGAGGAAGCTATTGCTGTCCAAAAAGAATATTGCAGCACGTTTGAAGTTTGCAAAAGAGCACCTGGATGTTCCACAGCACTACTGGCAAAATATACTGTGGACAGATGAAACCAAGATTGAGTTGTTTGGGAAGAACACACAACACTATGTGTGGAGAAGAAAAAAAGCACAGCACACCAACATCAAAACCTCATCCCCACTGTAAAACATGGCGGAGGGAGCATCATGGTTTGGGGCTGCTTTGCTACCTCAGGGCCTGGAGGGATTGTTGTCATTGATGGGAAAATGAATTCCAGAGTTTATCAAGACATTTTGCAGGAAAACGTACGACCATCTGTCCGCCAACTGAAGCTGCGCAGAGGATGGATGATGCAACAGGACAATGACCCAAAGCATACAAGTAATTCAACAAAACAATGGCTGCAACAGCAACGAATACGCCTTCTGGAGTGGCCCAGTCAGAGTCCTGACCTCAACCTGATTGAAATGCTGTGGCATGACCTTAAGAGAGCGATTCACACCAGACATCCCAAGAATATTGCTACACTGAAACAGTTTTGTGAAGAGGAGTGGTCCAAAATTACTCCAGATCGTTGTGCAGGTCTGATCTGCAACTACAGGAAACGTTTGGTTGAGGTTATTGCTGCCAAAGGAGGGTCAACCAGTTATTAAGTCCAAAGGTTCACATACTTTTTCCTCCCTGCACTGTGAATGTTTACATGTTATGTGCAATTAAACCATGGCAACAGCTAATGTTTTGTGTAGTATTATGTTCAGCAGACTGTGTTCTTCTATTGTTGTGACTTAGATGACGATCAGAGCACATTTCATGCCCAATTCATGCAAAACTCCACGTAATCCCAAGGGGTTCACATACTTTTTCTTGCAACTGTACCTGTCTGGCTGTGGCAGCGAGTGATACAAACTTTCTGATAGAATTGCAACAGCGGATGCTGTGAACAGTACGTGTTTCCAACACTCAGGTGGTGGGTACCACATATGTGTGTAAAAGGGTTAACTTCTCAGCTAACCCATCTCAGCGAATCTTGGTGGCAGCGGTTGGATCTAACTGTGTTACAGTTACAAATATGATATTCTCTACTTCTTTTATCTGCTACCATGGCACTTCATGTAGAATATATCGGAATGGACATTATATGAGGACATCGGAATTTGCGCCTAATGCAAGATGAGCCCTTGAAGAGTAAAACTGCTGTTATATAAATGTCAAATTAAGTTGTGCTGAATGTATTTTGAATTCAACCACTGAAAAGTGATGTTTGCCTAAAAACAAGGAGCCTTGTGACCTCCATTTTATGTATACTATAAATTCTGCTACTGTATATACTGAAGATACTGTAGATGAGTTACAGGCTGGGTTGCCTTCTATGATAGATAGATAGATAGATAGATAGATAGATAGATAGATAGATAGATAGATAGATAGATAGATAGATAGATAAATAAATATAGACTTTCACAAACTATGAAATTAATCACTTTTTCTAACCTTTCCTTTCTCTAACATTCATCTTCACAGAACAATCATTAAGAATTCATCTTGAGACGTGGATGTGAAGTTGAAGAAATGTTCATTGCCAAAGCTAGCACTTGCCCTCATACTTCAGGAATGCGAGATGAAAGCCTCCAACAAGCTCTCGGAGTGGTCATGTAGAAGGATCCTAACACAAGGCATTCCACCGCACACAAAGTCCTGTAATGTGCAATTTTACAGAGCTGGCTCGGCTGGTTGACCAATTCTCCTATCAGCTGATCAAAGATTGCCGCACCTTGGCCTTGTCTTCTTGAGTTTTTCTCTGGCTGGATGGCTAATCTTTGTTCAGTGACTCACTTGATGTGCTACAAAATGTTTTTTGGAAGTTGTACAAGAATGTGTTCATGTATGAAAGGTAATATTCACAGATAAACATACAGGAGGGTTCCACAGCCATGGAAGCGGCTTCTGCAGGCGTTTAGTAAGCACCAGGAGATCTCTGTGCTAAACTCTTTAGATACTTACTGAATGATTAGTAGTTACCTTATAGAGCTTGCTAAATTCCTCATGAATGACAAGTTCTTCAGGCAAACCTTTACAAGGTAAGATGAAAAAAAATAATGTCTATTCAATCTACAATTGACCTAACATAAGCCATAAAGCTTTACTTTCTAGTTAATGTTTACCTAAAGTAACTCTAAAGCCAACTTAAATTTTGGATAGAGTAACTCAGCCTTTATCAACCCTTCTAACATAGAGGAACCCTTGAAAAAACGTTCAGGTATCCTTTGCCAATTATTATTATATCTACATCCTATGGTACCTTAGTGTGGTGATCAATGGGAAGATTGTTCCTTGCATTTGTGGTCATTGGGTGAAGGGCTATACCATTGGTGGTGGAAAGGAGGATTGGATTGGATTGGATTGGAGGTCAGTGTGACGCATGCTCTTGACATTGGAGGTCAGTAGGTAGAATCCTCCTTTCTAACCTAGAGGAGCCCTTGAAAAAAACATTCAGATCTCAGGGAACCCTTGCTAATAACTATTATATCTATAGCTCATAGTACCTGTGCGTGGTGGTCAATGGTCGTCGAAGGGAAGAATGCTTCTTACATTGGAGGTCAGTGGGTAGAATGTTCCTTACAATAGAGGTCAGTGAGAAGAATGCTCTGTACATTGGTGGTCAGTGGGAAGAATTCTCCTTACATTGGAGGTCAATTGGAAGAAATCTTCTTACATTGGAGGTCAGTGGGAAGAATGCTCCTTACATTGGAGGTCAGTTGGAAGAAATCTCCTTACATTGGTGGTCATTGGGAAAAATGCTTCATACATTGGTGGTCAGTAGGAGAATGCTCCTTACATTGGAAGTCAGTGGAAAGTGCCCTCCTTACATTGGTGGTCAGTGAGAAGAATGCTACATACATTTAAGGTCAGTGGGAATAATCCTCATTACATTGGTAATCAGTAGGAAAAATGCCCTTTACATTGGTGATCAGTGGGAAGAATCCTCCTTATATTGATGGTCAGTGGGAAGAATGCCTATTACCTTGGTGATCAGTGGGAAAAAAAACCCTCCTTACAATGGTGGTAAGTTGGAAGTATACTTCTTACAGTGGTGGTCAGTGGGAAGAATGTCCCTTACATTGGTGGTCAGTGGGAAGGATGTCCCTTACATTGGTGATCAGTGGGAAGAATGTCCCTTACATTGGTGGTCAGTGGGAAGAATGCTCCTTACATTGGTGGTCAGTAGAAAGAATGCTCCTTACATTGAGGGTCAGTGGGAATAATGCTCCTTACATTGGGGGTCAGTAGGAAGAATGCTCAGGGTCCTGTCCACGGCAGGAGTTCTGGAAGACCTGGCATTTCTGCCAATACTCTACATGGCCGCAGAAGGACACATCAGCCTCAGTCTGGTGCCAGACGGCCTTTATAAGGAGGCTCATCACTTCCTCTAGTTACTGGATGTTCTCTAGCTCCCCGTGCCCTGTTCCTGTTTCCTGTGGTTCTGACTTGTGACTTCCTGTTACCAACTCGGCTTGCTCCTGGACTTGTCTATTCTGATTTACCCCTGATCTGACCTCGGCTTGGCTTACGGATACTTTCTCTCTCTCTCTCGCTCCTCTGTGAATGACCTCGGCTTTCCCATCTGACTACGTCTGCTCTGATTTCCCACCTAGTACCTGACCTTGGCTTGAGCCGACTACCCAGTAAACATCCAAATCCTGGAAGGGCTTGCATACCACGCACAGGCGCCTCCTGTCTGCAGACCTATCTCCATGCACCAGCTGTGCTTCTGAGTGGACCACCAACCAGCACTCCTACAGGCGACCTGTGCAACTTTTGGCCTGACTCCCACTGTCCCACTCTCAGAGAAGTCCGGAACTTAGCAGCAAGGGAAGCCCTCTCTCCATTGGCCTCCATCACCAGGTACGTGATACTTACATTGGTGGTCAGTGGTAAGAATGCCCCTTATATTAGTGGTCAGTGGGAAGAATGCCCCTTACATTGGTGGTCAGTGAGAAGAATGCTTCTTCCATTGGTGGTCAGTGGGAAGAATGCTCCTTACATTGGTGGTCAGTGGGAAGAATGTCCCTTACATTGGTGGTCAGTGGGAAGAATGCCCCTTACATTGGTGATCAGTGGGAAGAATGTCCCTTACATTGTGGGTCAGTGGGAAGAAGATTGGTGGTCAGTGGGAAGAATGCTCCCATTGGTGGTCAGTGGGAAGAATGTCCCTTACATTGGTGGTCAGTGGGAAGAATGCCCTTACATTGGGGGTCAGTGGTGGTCCCAGTGGTGGAAGAAGAATGCCCCTTACATTGGTGATCAGTGGGAAGAATGTCCCTTACATTGTGGGTCAGTGGGAAGAATGCTTCTTCCATTGGGGGTCAGTGGGAAGAATGTCCTTACATTGGTGTTCATTGAAGAATGTTTCTTATATTAGTGGTCAGTGGGAAGAATGTCCCTTACATTGGTGTTCAAGAAGAATGTTTCTTATATTAGTGGTCAGTGGGAAAAATGTCCTCCTTACCGATAGTAACACATTAGGGAGGTAGAAATTGCTCATTACTCAAGGAACCCTTAAAAACTTCTGAAAGAACCCTAGTTAAGAAAAGCTAGAGTAGAATGTTTAAAGCCAGTTATTATTATTTATTTATGTATTTATCTCTTGCTGTTGAGGAGTATTCCCCTCACTTACTGTCCTGGAGATGCAACAAAGACTGAGAGGAACTCTCTCAAAAGTGCAGAACAGATGTCCCACTGGACAGTTTCCCCTCAACTCCTGTTCTGGTGGCAACTTTTTGGATTTCCCCCCATTTTTTGTCTCATTGTTAATGACCACAAATAGAGTCAATGACTCCCAATAGTGATAGAAAAAATATAACAAGGTTTCTAACCCTTCAACACTAAAATGTCTTGGATTTAGAAACATTTTAAGCCTTGATTTGGTTTGTGAAATATTTCATTATGGAGGGGGGCCTTGGCTGGTTAGCCAAGAGAATGTATGTGTAGTGCATCTTTCAAAGGTGTGTTTCAAATAAATAATTGAGTTCATTATGTAGACTATTTAAAGCGGAAAAAAGCGGTTGTAAAGGCTGAAGGTTTTTTTACCTTCAGGCAGGGGCATCCCTGGGTTGGTGTCACCCAGTGTGGAAACACTGGGTGACACCCCCTCCGATGATCCCTGCAGAATGAATCAGATCTGCGGATTGAGCATAATGGATTGAAGTCCGATCCATTATCCTCCCCAATCCGATCCATCCTGCGGGGATCGTTGGCATGCAACCTATACGGGGTTAACTGATCTCTCCATGAAAAGGTAAGTTTTAAAGCAAGCCAACCATCCCCGCAGAATGGATTGGATCTGCGGATTGGGGAGCATAATGGATCGGACTCCATTATGCTCAATCCGCAGACCCATAGAGAAGAATGGACGGTCCAATCCAGTCCACCTAAAAAACAGTCAGGAGGACTCGACTGGACCACTCATGTGAGAGGGGCCTAAAATCCGAAAATAGGAGGACAAAGCAGAAAGGAGAGAAGGAAGAAGAGAATGCAAAGGAAACACACTGGGTTAAGGATTCTTTTGGGTTTTTTTTTTTTAAAAAGTGACAGTTATTTTCAGCTGAGGCCAATGAAGTTTGAAAGTTATAATCACATGGGTGAAAAAAGATCTTTATCCTTGCATTAAAGTTTTGGAATTCGAACCTAAAGGCAGAGGATAGTGGGACGGGAAAAAGAGATTGATGAAGTGAGTGAAAAGAAGCACTAGTTAAAATATGTAAAAGGAAGATAGCCCAGTTCACAAGAAAAACACAACAGGATAGGAATACTTTTTTTTGTTTTTTAAGTGACAGTTATTTTCAACTTAGCCCAATGAGATTTGAAAGTTACAGTCACATGTCTAAAAGAAAAAACTATTTCTCCTAGTGTTAACGTTTTGGAAATTAATTCTAAAAGCAGAAAATAGAAGGGAGGGCAGGAGAGCATGAAGAAGAAAGTGAAAACACATCAGGATAAGGATAATTAATTGCAAAATAAGTGGCAGTTATTTTCATGTGTAGTTTGTGTCTCTGCCCCTCCCACAATAGTGAGATTTCCCACAATAGTTTGTGTCTCTGCCCCTCCCACAATGGTGAGATTTCCTGCTGTAGTTTGTGTCTCTGCCCCTCCCACAATGATGAGATGTCCCGCCGTAGTTTGTGTCTCTGCCCCTCCCACAATGAGAAGGTTTCTCTGCAGTAGTTTGTGACTCTGCCCTTTCCACAATGGGAAGATTTCCCCCTGTAGTTTGTGTCTTTGCCCCTCCCCCAATGGGGAAATTTCCTGTAATAGTTTGTCTGCCCTCCCACAATGATGAGATTTCCTGCAGTAGTTTGTCTCTGCCCCTCCCACAATGGGGAGATTTCCCCAATAGTTTGTGTCCTGCCCCTCCCACAATGGGGAGATTTCCTGTAATAGTTTGTGTCTCTGCCCCTCCCACAATGGTGAGATTTTCCCCCTGCAGTTTGTGTCTCTGCCCTTCCCACAATGGGGAGATTTCCCTGCAGTAGTTTGCGTCTCTGCCCCTCCCACAAAGGTGAGATTTTATACTGCAGTAGTTTGTGTCTCTACCCCTCCCCCACAATGGGGGATTTCCTGCAGTAGCTTGTATCTCTGACCTCCAAAGTGGGGATATTTTCCCCCAGTAGTTTGTGTCTTTGCCCCTCCCACAATGGTGGGATTTCCTGCAGTAGCTTGTGTCTCTGCCCCTCCAAAATGGGGATATTTCCCCCAGTATTTTGTGTCTCTGCCCCTCCCACAATGTGAGATTTTCCTGCAGTATTTTGTGTCTCTGCCCCTCCCACAATGATGAGATTTCCTGCAGTAGTTTGTGTCTCTGCCCCTCCCACAATGGTGAGATTTTCCTTGCAGTAGTTTGTCTCTGCCCCTCCCACAATGGTGAGATTTTCCCCAAGTAGTTTGTGTCTCTGCCCCTCCCACAATGGTGGGATTTCCTTCCCAGTAGTTTGTGTGTCTCTGCCCCTCCCACAATGGTGAGATTTTCCCCCAGTAGTGTTTGTGCCCCTCAATGGCCCCTCCCACAATGATGAGATTTCCTTCCTTCAGTAGTTTGTGCCTCTGCCCCTCCCACAATGGTGAGATTTCCTGCAGTAATTTGTCTCTGCCTCTCCCACAATGGTGGGATTTTTTCACCCAGTAATTTGCGTCTCTGCTCCTCCCACAAAGGTGAGATTGTGGTCCAATGAGATTTTAAGGTTATTGTTAAATGGCTAAATAAATAATGTAAAGGAAGAGAGATCAGTTCACAATAAAAAGACTACAGGATAGGCATACTTTAAAAAAATGTTTTTTTAAAGTGACAGTTATTTTCAGCTGTGCTCGATGAGATTTGACCTTTACACTCACATGGCTAATTAAAATATGTAAAAAGAAGAGAGATTAGTTCACAAGAAAAACACATAAGGATAAGGGTACTTTCTTTTTTTTTTTTTTAAAGTGACAGTTATTTTCAGCTAAAAGGATTAATTTACAAAACTTTATCTTTAGACCAATGATCTTTTTTTGGCCATTCCATTGTCATTTTTTAAACCTCATTGAGAAAACATTTTCAGTTTTCATGCTGAACCTTTCACGGCATTTGTAATGTGAGATCCGTCACGTGCACACCTAGGAAAATAACAGCTATATCTGTTTAATAGCATGGCCTCGCAGCTTAGACGTACCAATTGTAAAACGCTCACTGTGTTCTCTCCTTCCTGCATACTTTCATTAACCTTCACTTCCTATATCAGGCCTGGCAGCATGACGAGTGAGCACAACGCTCTCCGCGAAGGAACACCACCGGGATTATCGCTGTTTACAAGGGCAGCGGACAAGTGTGAACCGTGTGACACAACACACACACGGATAGATCTGCAGATTTACTGGAGACGTCTGTTAGCTGCTCATCAGCAGGTGGATGGCCCCCGAAGACACTGAACACATTTCTTCACCTCGTATATACACAGAACAAGAACAAAATATATATATGAGGCTCCTTTCCCATAAAAGGTCTTATACACAATGGTGGGAGGATTTGTTTTTCACCCGGGTCCCGTATGTATGAATGGGACGCATTCCTACTTTATGAGATTGTGGAGCGAAATCCGCATTCCGGCTCTGCAAAACACAAACAGCAGGGTGTCCAAAAACCGGAATGACTCATAATAATACATAACGACATTGTAATTACGTGGCGCGGGGCTTGTTTTAAAAATGTCCACCAAGAAATACTGGACCTAGACCTGAGAACGTGTTCCATGTACTAACCTAATAAATGTAAGATTCTACTGGAGGACTCCGCTCCTTCCTCTATAGCTCTCCTCTCCTGAAATACTCTGCTCTGCTGGAGGACTCCGCTCCTTCCTCTATAACTCTCCTCTCCTGAAATACTCTGCACTGCTGGAGGACGCCGCTCCTTCCTCTATAACTCTCCTCTCCTGAAATACTCTGCTCTGCTGGAGGACTCCGCTCCTTCCTCTATAACTCTCCTCTCCTGAAATACTCTGCTCTTCTGGAGGACTCCGCTCCTTCCTCTATAACTCTCCTCTCCTGAAATACTCTGCACTGCTGGAGGACGCCGCTCCTTCCTCTATAACTCTCCTCTCCTGAAATACTCTGCTCTGCTGGAGGACTCTGCTCCTTCCTCTATAACTCTCCTCTCCTGAAATACTCTGCTCTGCTGGAGGACTCCGCTCTTTCCTCTATAACTCCTCTCCTGAAATACTCTGCTCTGCCGGAGGACTCCGCTCCTTCCTCTATAACTCCTCTCCTGAAATACTCTGCTCTGCCTGGAGGACTCCTCTCCTTCCTCTATAACTCTCCTCTCCTGAAATACTCTCCTGAAATATACTCTGCGCTGCTGGAGGACTCCGCTCCTTCCTCTATAACTCCTCTCCTGAAATACTCTGCTCTGCCGGAGGACTCCGCTCCTTCCTCTATAACTCCTCCTCTCCTGAAATACTCTGCTCTGCTGGAGGACTCCGCTCTTTCCTCTATAACTCTCCTCTCCTGAAATACTCTGCTCTGCTGGAGGACTCCGCTCCTTCCTCTATAACTCTCCTCTCCTGAAATACTCTGCACTGCTGGAGGACTCCGCTCCTTCCTCTATAACTCTCCTCTCCTGAAATACTCTGCTCTGCTGGAGGACTCCGCTCCTTCCTCTATAACTCTCCTCTCCTGAAATACTCTGCTCTGCTCGAGGACTCCTCTCCTTCCTCTATAACTCTCCTCTCCTGAAATACTCTGCACTGCTGGAGGACTCCGCTCCTTCCTCTATGACTCTCCTCTCCT